CCTCGTCAACACAGCTATTGTTCAGCGGAGCTACAGATCCTGTTTCCTGTTTTCCCCTCTCTTATCTCCTTCGGTAGCTTCCTCACTAACTCCTTCATTCTCCAGACATTCCTAATCTCCTCGACACTCTCACCTCCTTCTTCCTCACCTCCTCATTTCCTACCGTTCTGCGCCTGTTGCCCACCTCTCCGTGAACTCTGCAGCATTCCTCCACACACCAGGAAACGGGAATTAAAAAGAAAAATAAGAAAAATAAAACGTAAAATATTTCTTCTATATCTTAAAATATTGAGGAAAAATAAATGACTAGTTAATTACTTTTTGCTCTCATTGCAGTAAATGTTATGTTCAGTGTCACAGAATAGGAGCATCACAGGCGACTCATTGGACAAAAGACTAATGTATAATGGCTGTGAAAGCAGGACAGTGTATTATATAACTGCTGCACATTGTGCAGTAGGTCACCTGTAGACTCAGTGTGTGGCCTTAACCAAACAGCAGCTCTGAATTGTCAAAATGTCACCGGAGGTCAAACCTGTCTGCCTCAAACTGAACACAATGAAAAACTACGCAGAGATTTGAAAACACAATGACACCTTTCCTGACTGACACACACACACACACACACACACGTGAGAGAGAGTGTGTGTGTGTGTTAGAGAAGGTCAGGGAGTTTGAGAGCCCTTTGCCTCACATACATCCTGTATGACAGCATTTCATCACCGAGATCCCCCTGACCAGGAAGTGAGGTCGTACCTCTGTGAGGTTCTCACAGCTGTACGATGCAGCGATGGGACAAAATATTTCCTGTCTCCGTCGTGACGCCACAGCACAGAACAGCTGCGGCGGCGGCGGGTCATGTGTGAGAAGACATCGCCAACCTGTTCGTCTGCGACACAATGACTCTGCAACCAGAGCGATTTTTTTTTTTTTTTACGTTGCTTTGTTCTTGCACATGCAGCCATGAAGAATGTAGGAATCTGAGCGACAAATGGAACAGCAACGAACACAGGTTTCTGACAGGAAGTTCAATTAGCATTAGCGTTGTTCCCAGCTCAGAGCCAATGGCAGCGGCTCAGAAACAGAAACGTCCTATTTCGACAACAAACACCGTGTCGTTCCTGTCAGGGTCACGTCTGACTTGTACCTGCAGTTTCACCACAGCGTCAGTCCACACAGGGGTTTGGCTCAGTGTTTACAGCGGATGCACCTTCCTGACAGGACCCCACCAGGGCTGGGAGAGGACTGGGAAGTAGATTTGAACCTGGGATCTTCTGCATGTCAGCAGTAAATAACGCTAACGTTGCTTTTTGTGAGGCACAAATTTTACCCACAAACTGTTGTTAAATAGTAATTAAACATTTTTTTCTAAATTATTAATTACCCAGGTTAAACTACGGTTCCCACGGTCAGTGGGTTCAACTGGTCTGAATCCTGTGTACGATAATCCAGCAGAGAATACTCAACTGTACTCGACTGGATGTATTTTCAATTTGGTCCTCTCGGCCCATCAGCAGAAGAAGACAGTGATGTAATGTTGTTTTCACTTCAATCACTGAGGACACGTGCGTATAAACATATAAACTGCTGAGCAGAAACAAAAACCTAAACCGGGCTTTAAATCATCTGATGAAGCAGGATTTTGTCACATGCAGCAGCGACAGGTAGAAGAATCACCTGTTCTACCCACTGGCCCTCAGACAGGGGGGAGTCAGAGAAACGTACTGGAGGGGGCGCTGGTTGACGATCACTGGATCAGCTCAAAGGCGACTCTGTTTACATCCAGGTTAATGACTAAATCCAATACCTCACTTATACAAGTCACTGCCATCCAACTGGATACCCACAAGGCAGCGGAGCGTAACGCTAACACCGCGGACACACAGGCAGGTAGACACTTTTCCGACCTGCGACGGTGCGTGTGATTTTGACGAGGACAAACAACAAATAACTGCAGCGTCTCTAAAAATACAACAAAGCCATTTCCGGCAGGGAAAAAGAAGGAACGCCAAACTGACGGCATGAGTTCGGTGGAGGGATTCTGGGAGGACTTTCCAAGCCTTAATTCCACATGGCGACTTTTTCTTGAATTTAAACTAAACAGATTCATCTCTCCCAGACGTTTGTCATTACAAAAATAAATTCCCGTCCAAGTCTTTGTGTGTTCCAGTTATTTGTGGGAATCTGCTTCTGCTTAGAGCCTGATGGTAGAAAAAAAGGCCTGTTTGTCATTTCTCTTCTCATGCGATACATACTTTTCCAGTTCTGAGCCCTGGGTTTATAACGGATGGCAGTGTCGCACAAACTGAGTGTCTTTAACGGTTCTTTTAGGTTAATATTACGTTTCCTAAAGGGCAGCGGGTTGGCTAAGGTTCAGAGTTTGAGTTTTTAATTAATTGAAATTCAAATAAAATCTGATTTTTGGGTCAAATATCAATAGTTTTGTGCTTTTTTTTAAGTTCAAAAGAATTGAACAACTGTGATAGTGAAGGAATGGAGCCTTAATCTCTCATTAATGATAATGACATTTCAAATATTCACATCATAATAAACACATGAATTAGCCTCAAATTCAAATAAAGATATAAATTAAATCTTTAATGTAAACTGATCCTGAAATGACAACGTATTTGTCACAAAATTCTCTGATGGCTTCATCAACGTTTTGGAAAAAAAATGTTTCCAACCTAAAAAAACAAAATATATTTTCACAATAAAACTACACAACTTTTTTTGTAGCAATATTGACTCATCTCTAAACATAATTAAAACATTTGTGTGATTGTTCAGAGTTGTGATTGTTCAGAGGTGTGATTGTTCAGAGGTGTGATTGTTGTTTAGTAACGTAGGTGTTAACAATGTGTCAGCAGGCGCATGTTTGTGCAGTCAGTGGCCCAGACAATAAGCCTTTGTCTCCCCATATCCTATTTTTCTCTCGTGGGCTGACACACACACACACACACACACACACACACACACTCATAAACACACACACTTACGTACAGATACACCTCGGCCACACACACACGTGCACACACTTCGTCCTGACTTCCGTCAAGTTACAGCGGTTTGGAGACAGCAAAACAGGAAGAATCTGATCTTCACTTCCTGTCTCCCACTTCCTGTCTCCCACTTCCTGTCTCCGATGGATGGAGGGAGACACAGATGTGTTAATTAGGAGGAAAAATAACGAGTCAGCGCAGGAAATGAAAACGGGAGCGGACGGGTGTTTGTGCGTAAGTGGGGATCTGAGATCATAGGAACAGAGTGGCAGTAGGGGGCGCTGGTGGACAGGTGTCACCGGGAGGAAAAACACCACCGAAGAATCTCGTTAATGATCCGAAAATATCTGTAAAAATCGTTATCGTTTTTTTCTGTGATAATGATAATTCACCAATACTGTGTGTCCTAAAAATAGTTTTGGGGATAAACGGCTGTATATTAAAGTGAGAGTCACTAGATGGCAGCATTACAGCTCATTTAATTAATGGTTTGTACAGATGGATATATTAATATTACCAGGCCTGTATCATTATCAGTTGATATTGGAATCGGAAATTAACTGTTTGGACAATATCAGTTTATCGTATATCGGCAAAAAGTTAATATCAGACATCCCTTCACTAAATACGAGGGATGCATTGACACTGATAAAAGTTGTTTTTTGTCTTGTTATTTATTGCGCTTTGTTCATATGTTTAATTGACATGTGAATGAAAACATTGTCGATTCTTGTTTTTCACGTTTATGTCAATGTGAGGAACTTTGTTCATATGTTTAATTGACATTTGAATGAAAAAGACGATTCTCGTTTTTCACGTTTATGTCAATGTGAGGATGTTAGATGTTTTAATTATTATTTATTATCCAATCAGTGATGAAGAGAAACAGCTGTTCATCTGTCACATCTGTCGTCTTACATGAACTAACAGAACGTTTTGTGTTATTTTATATTAACGTAGATGAAGAATAAAAAACCAAGCCTAGAATCTGGAGTCAGGGTTGAAATGACCTCAGCTGACTTCATACTCAGAGTTTGTGAACGTACGCATGTGGAGCGGTTTACAAGACACATGCACACCATTATTTTACCACACACATTCACACTCACACACACACACACACATAGAGTCAAAACACCTGACGAGCTGCGGTTCTGCAGAAGGAAGTGAAAACTCAGTCCATCTGCTTTGACAGGAAGTCAACAGAAGCCACATACAGGCGTGCTGACGTCAATCACAGCCACAGGAACTCCTCCTCACTGCACACACACACACACACACACACACACACACACATACTGACATTACTCACGATGATGTCTATATGCTGTGATAAACATTTATTCACACCTTGGTTAAGACATCGTGAAGTTAAAAAACCTGATGTTGAAATGAACAGAACCAATCAATCCAAACGGCGGTTGATGGAGCGAGACTAACACAACACGACGACAGAAAAAACCAACACTGACGTCTGGTGGAACTATGACATTGTTGAAAGGTTCAGGGATGCTCTGAGTTTTCAGTTTCACTGTCGCTCATTTCTCTTATTTTTACCTGTAAATGTCGCTGTTTTCATCACAACTTCTGAGGAATGTGGAAACGTCTGCTCAGAGCTGAACTATTACAGCGTTCAGTTGAAACATTAGTTTCAGTTTTTACATTAGATAAAAATATCAGTTTTGTTTTGTTATGTCCTTAGATTAAAAAACAAATTCACAATAAATGATCAACTGAAGTTATTTAAAGAACTTTGCATCATCCAATACACACACACACACACACATACACGATTACTCGATTACTTTCTCTGGAAGTGAGGGTGTGTGTGTGTGTGTGTATTTCAACAAAGTTAGTGACCTTGACGACATAAACTGTCCGTTCTACAGATTTAGCGTCACAGAGGTCGTGGACAGAGGTCACACTGTACGTGTTACGGTGGGAATAAAAAAGAATAATTAAAGCAAGCACATATTTACAACCATAGCAGCGTCTTACCTGGGAGACAAACTCTGGTGATTGGCGGTTGAGTCGTTGTTGCAGGAGACCTCCTGTAGGGGAGGCAGAGAGGGAGAGAGGGAGAGAGAGAGAGAGAGAGAGAGAGAGAGAGGTAAATAAAACCCTGCAGCCTGAGGTCGACAAACACAATTAAAAAGATTCCAAGAAATTTCAAAAACAATTCTTAAAAACCCTGGTGACGTAATCACAGAAATGTTAACTGAGAGTTGGTGCAGAACAACATCCTGTCCCATCATTTCACAGGTCTTTAGTCACAGAGTTTTCCTGAAATTATTGTCTTAACACATTGACAAACATCAGAAGTGTCAGACGAGTCACTTCTTGAACGCCTGTAACAGTCAACGACGTATTTAAGTGACTCGCAGTCAGAAGGAAAGAGCAAAACAGAAACTGGAAGTTAAAGATACAAAACTCAGAACCACGCTGGTTTAAACTAAACGCCGTGTTCAGTGAAGGAACCGCAGCCTTACACACCATTGATAAACCAACCAGGAAGTGGTTCTTAAATAGTGAACTAACACGACACAGGGTTTAAATCCAAACACGGGGAATCGGGATTTGAGCAACAAGCTTTTAGCGATCAAAAAAAAAGAAGTAAACTATGTACAAGAACAACTTCATGGTCCATAATATATCAGAGTGAATTTGGTTTATTCACAAATATGGTGTCCCTGCAGAGGAGCCGCCGTGCTGCCATTGGTTCAGGAGCCACGGGTTGCAGACCTCTGCTCTAACCTTATTAGCTTTGACTTGATGAATGCCTCTGTGCTGGTGTTACAGACACCAACCACTGGTGTCTGTGACTGATCGATGCACCAGAAGAAGAAGAAGAAGAAGAAGAAGTTCAAACTGCCAGGATAAAGTAAATATGAATGCGTGTGGGCTCAGTGTTTGTGGAAAAATCCCGACAGCAGAATGAACAGAGTGAGGGGAGGTAATAAACATTAAAAAAAAAAAATCTAAAATAAATTTGTTCCATTCTTAAAACAGCCTCCCGGTGGCCAGATGTCAAAGATGTTTTATTTAATTTTCCATTCTATCATGAGGAGGCACAACAGTGAGATAAACACGGCCCAAATAAGGTTTTCTATTCTGTGGTTACATGTTATCATTGATGAAGTTAACGTCCAGCCAGTGTCCAGGTACATTTTACTTGTCATTTTCATTGTGTCGTTTATAAATACTTTATTTCTTCTCATGTCAGTTTTTTTAATTTTCAGCATGTGTTAAATTCACCTGCACCAAAAAAAATGCAAATACGAATAAGAGTAGGAAATAGGTGTGTGTGTGTGTGTGTGTTCAACGTTTTGTTTTTGTTTTTTTCAAAAGTTAAGCGGAGCGAAGCTATGGCTGTTTAAAGATAGGCGCTGCTACCATCTTGTGGTGAAAAGCTAGTACTGCAGTCTTTCAACGAAACGACCTATTTTTTTTTTATTTCTTAGGGACTGTTTTTTTTACCTCAGTATTTTTGTCAGTAAAGTCTTTGTACCAGAGTTACTTACTTGCTGGAGGCACACTGGACATTGGTCAATACAGTGAAATTATTCCGTACACTGCGAAGGCTGGCCAGAACCTAGAATGTCAGACACACAGACGGGTCAGGGTCGACATTTGTGACAAAAGAAAAAAAAAAGAATGATGGGTTAACCTGACACCAGCCCTGATTACTGAAGTTATGGATTCTTACCTGAGCAAAAGGTGTTACGATCAGGTCGTCTCCATGTCTGTGAACACATCAGATTTAAAGCTATTAAATCTTCACAATAGTCAGAATAAATGCAAATAAAAAGTTATCACAAAATTTAAATCAAAAGCTATGACCAAAAAACAATTATTTACATAGAATAGCACTTTGTCCCAATAAATGCAAATAAAAAGTTATAACAAAAATTAAATTAATTTTAAATTAAAAGCTATGACTAAAAAACAATTATTATTTACATAGAATAGCACTTTGTCCCTGTATCTAGGACTGTACATGTTAGCGTGGTGTGCACTAACTGCCCTCGTGTTTATATTTTTTACTTACAGTTCAGAGGCGATGGAGGAGTTCCGTGACATGGACTTGGGTGACAGATCATAGTCACTGTCGGAGCGGTACAGGAAGGACTCCCGACGCTGGTTGTGACTTGGAAAGTTGGAGTGAAGGACCAGACCGGAGCCTGGAGAGGCCTGAGGGTCCAGCGGGCTGCAGCTGGAGGGGCCATTCTCCACATCAAAACTGACAAAGAGAAGGAAAGACTAATCAGATATTTCCCTTCATTACAGCTTAGTTTTAATCATCTGAGGCTTAAAGAAATAAAAACCAGAGAGACATAAAGAGGGAAACTATGTCATGTCACAAAGTCCTCAAATTTAGACAGTAATTACAGCCTTTTATTTCCCCTAAACCTAAAACAGTCCAATCTTAAAGGAATCATTCTAATCAAAACAACATGCTCTGTGATTGGAGGACAGAGAAAGAGAGGGGGGGGGGGGCATGATGTACCATCAATATACCCCCAGGAGGAGAGCAGCCTCTGCCTCTCTACACAAACACACTCCACTCCAGTTGGCATGACCGGGCAACAAAGGGCAGAGTGACACGGAAGAGCCTTCACGTCTGAGGAGTTGACAGAGGAATGAAGGAGGAGGTGCCAGGAGGAGGAGCACCAGCGCCATTAAAGGGAGGATTTTATTCATGTACCCTTCATTACTGCGCTGACTGTTTCACAACATCTTACAAACCAACACGAACAATGAGTGCATTTTGTGTCTTTGTTTTCATTTTGTCTCTCATTTCCATTTCCTGTGATGTCACCGTGACGTCGTCCACCATCGCTGCTCTGACTGTGTTGTAAACAAACACAGGCTCAACCAACCCTGATTACACTACAGTCCAAACCAAAAACACTTCATCAATTAAAAACAGTGTTGTTGCCTCGGCCCAGCTGAAGAAATGATGACTAAATGTGGAGTCTGATAAAATAACTTTAATCTAATTTAGTGACATGACAAAGGAAAATTGGCTGAAACCTAAAGTGCAGTATCTCATGAAAATATAGCTGCACTGCAAACAGGCTACAATATATATATATATATATATCTATATATATATAGATATAGATATATATACACAGTTTATATCAATATATGTATATATATATACAGTGTATATCAATATATATACATATATGTGTGTATATGTATATATGTTTATGTATGTGTGCATATATGTTCACAAACATTCCGTACATGTATATATAAATATATATAAATATATAAATATATATACAGTATATATATGCGTGTGTATGTACGGAATGTATGTGTACATATATAATATATATAATATATATACTCATATACATTCTGTAAATATATGTATATTTGTTCTATTATTTAAAAGGTCAACACACACTGCTCTAAATATAAACACCGACTCTAGTACCGAGTATCTACACTTCTGACCAGACGTATCACACGACCTTCACTCCGTCGGACAAAAACATTGTTGATGTTTTGTCATTTCGTCGCTGCAAAAATACTGAAAAATTCTGCGTCCTTATTGGCTGCCGGCTTATATCTTGTGAGTTTTACACATGAATGGCTGCGCCGTGCACCACCGTTAAAACGCGTGACTGCACCCGCCCGGAGGTCAGTCCACTGGTTTGCGTGTTAGGAGGGAGAACCTCGCCAGTCCACAGAGGGCAATCTCACCATCAACCACCGTGTTGACGAATCAGGATTAAAAAAGCTGCTCAGTGGACATCAGCACAACACTGACCTCAACCTGAGTCACATCCGCCCGTCGGGGTCTGAGGCAGAAATGTGAGTCATGTCTGAAGGTAACAGCTGCTGTACACAGGTATTATCATGAAGCCAGGACCGTTCAGAGACGCTGAGTGAGGAGGACCAAACAGGGTCACAGCTGTGTCAGATTACAAACTTCCCCTGAACACACAGACCTGAGGGTCGGGCTGTTACGTAAGTGGTAACACTCTCAGAGAAGTCCAGCTGAGAGAACGGTCTCCAGCCAATCATTACAGTGATGTCTTCTCTTAGCAACAACCTTGCTAGGAGCGCCAACTAAGTGATGACTCATTTTGGATTTTAACTTTTTTTTCCTAGGACAGTAAAGGCAACTTTACTGCATCTGATAGAGTTTTTTTTCAAGTCGATTCTTGAGATGTAGAGTGTGGGAGAAGAGTTGGTTTAATATCAGTTTGTTTCACTGCTCTAGAGTATGTTAAATTCCACATGAATTTTCTTTTGCTTTTACAGGTTTCTTTTGACTCGTATGAGTCAGTTTTGAGTGACAATGTGATTAGTAAGCTCACCACCAGGGGGCTGTAAATTCATCTTTCCAAGGACTTCTGTGGAATTACTCTTTTCCAAAGAAATCAGAAAATGATCGACCTGACCTGGAACATTTACTCCAGTGACATGACATATTCCACATCCTCTCTTTCCCAGGATACATATGTGTATTCCACAGGGATGACAGTGTTGCAGGGAAGTTTGACATGTTCACTCGAAAACCACAGCTTCCATCACGACACATGAGAACTTGGTCGTAGAAAAACAAAGAGGTAAGACGACAAACCTGGCTGACCACGACAGACGGTGAGGCCGGAGACAAAGCTAATGACTAATAATTCCTCAGAAATGACTGAACTTCCAGGTCTCCATGGAACCTCCAAGGACACAGACAAAGGGAAGTTCTTTTTTCACGAAAACAAAGGCTGACTTTAGCTGCCTCGGTACCCAGGTCTGTCTGAAGTCAACGTCTTGGACAGGTTTCAGAGCGGCTCAAAACGTATTTCCTGAAATATTAGAAGGAGTTTCCTTGGTGGAGTTTGTTCACAGGAATTTTCAGAGACTTTCTGCTGTAGAATGTCCTAAATGTCCTGCGTCATAGTGGACAACATCAGGTTTACATGGAGAACCTTGGTGGTGCATTTGGTTTAAAATAATTATCAGATAATGTGTGTTTTATTCAGGCCAACCATGAGCTGTTTCTGGTTCTATTGAAGCTCATTTTTAAGTATTTTAGACCAATCTCAATTACCTTTTGTTTTTTTTTCCTTTCTGGTCAAATGTATTTACATAAATGTGTCAAACTCTTTGGACTGAAGGAACAAAACGCTGTCAGTTAGAAAGTCCTGTTCTCACATTGTCTTTTGTAAATATCTCGCTGTGAAGTGAAACCTTTATTTCAGCCCTGATTAAAAGTGTTGATTAACATCAACCTAAAACTAGTGATGTCCAATAATATCGGCCGACAGTTATCGACCCAATATTAGCATAATTATGGTAAATCTGTGTCTGTAAGAATTGTTATTAATTCACCCTCTGATAATTAAAACCTGATAATGTTTTTCCAAATATGCTGGAACTGCATGTGGGGTTCCTGAGAATTTTACCACCGTTTTTGGAGGTGAACAGCTGTGTATATTGGTAATGTTCACATCAGAATCAGAAACTAAGTATTTAGACAATATTGCCATATCGGATATTAGCAAAAAAGGTTAACATCGGACTTAAAACCAAACCGTCCATTAGAACAAAGTCGACATTGTCACTGCAGCTGCTGTGGAGAGACGTTAACGTTCTCCTTCAGAGGAGGAACTGAACTGGGCCAGAAAAAATTGATGCTAAATATAGGGTTCTGACAAAGTGGTCAGCTGAGTGAAATGTCCCAGGTGACAGTGAGATGAAGGTGTGTGTGTGTGTGTGTGTCTCATCTCCAAAAATGAACACAAAGGAATGATCCGACACTAGTTTTAGAAGCAGCGCCTCAGTCTGTTGATCTAATTCACCTCATGTTCATGAACATGTCACAGCAGGAAGCACAAAGCAGAACTGACCAAACCGAATAAAGTCGACAATTATGACGGAGGAACAGCATCAAACCAAGCTTTGTGTGTGTGTGTGTGTGTGTGTGTGTGTGTGTGTGTGCGTGCGTGGTTGGGTGGGGTGTGAAATTGAGGATCTGAGTTCCACTCACAGGAACACGACAAAACTTTCACTTTCCATTTCACCTTAGCGCTGCTGGCCGTAGCTAATCCGTTCACCTTCACTCATTCTTGTCAAACCTCAGGCCGTCACGTGACGTGACTCTGTTTGCAGCAACATCCCAGTTTCTGAGGCTCAGGATAAATCGTGCCTCATGATGACAAATCACACGACCTGTCTTACTGGTTTATCTCATAATATTTTGGATAAATAAAAAAAACAGACACTGGTTTAACACCGTGTTTCACAACTTTTTTTTGAGCCAAGGCACATATTTTTAAATTCCACAGCACAACTCCGAACGAAAAATTCCCAATTTCAATTTGCAGTAAATGTTTTCAGAACAATCCAGTGAAAGTGGATGAGTTTGTCTGGAGCTTCATCAGACTCAAAAAGTGCGTTTGTATAAATATATTTTTTAATAGTTGATCATTTTAGGATGCTGGTACAATACTTCAACAATATTGGTAGTAGAGCACAGAGCTCCATTCTGCGGTAGTGCTGTACACCCATAAAACAGTGTGCAAAACTGTTCAAATTATAAACCATCAGACAACAATTAGAAAAGGACACATTTTCTCTTCATCTATCTGTTTAGATGTAGCCTCTCCTGATGCTAAGCTAATCCTGCTAATCCTGTTGATTGTTACAATTTTCCGTCGGCATTTCCATCATGGCACATGTGACACATTAACATGGTGTAATTATTTACACACTGGTACAGAACACAACACCTGCGACGCTGTAAATATGCTGCTAAGTCACGTCAGCGTCTCCTGGACCTCCATCTGCGCTGCCTCTGGTCAGGGTTAGTCTCCTTCACCTGCTCTAATGACGCGACTGAACACAGAACTGCGTTTGTGTTCAGCTGCTGACCGCACAACAGTCCAGGACTTTCCACAGGAAACCATCAGTTACAGAGGTGGAACCCACTCAGGGCCAGAGGTGAACTGCTCTGGACTTCAGACGTCTCGGTCGTACAACTTACACCGTCACTGGTTTTTCTTTGTTTTTTTACCAAAATGAGTGGAGTAAACTAACAGTTTATACAGGGCCAAAAATGGACAGCAAAATAATTTAGGATTGTCTATGAGAATTGGTTTGAAGGTAGAAACTTAGTTAAAAATTCAAAAGAACATTTTTAATATTTGGGGGGTTTGTTTTGTTTGTTTGTTTCTTCAGTTTCACATATATCCATATATATGTGATACTCTAAGAAGCAAA